AAAATTGAAAAGTGTACTCAAGTGAAAATTGATGACACTACTGCTTGATATCAAGCTGGTAAAAGAGAGTATCCAACCAGGAACTAGATTATACAAGAAAAAGTTCTTACCACATAGAAACAAAAAGCTCAGAAGCTAAATTTATTTATATACCAATGTTATATAATTGTAATAGTATATACGCCATATACGTTTTTAATTAATTATCACATTTCAATGGTTTAATAATATCACTTGTGGTTCTATCTTTATATTCTTCGATTTCAATATGCACTTATGAAGATGCGAGTACTTACCCAAACAATAAAGAGAAATTACTATTACGTGACTTACTGTCATACAATAATACACAAGTATATAAACAAATTTTTATTCTAATAAAAATACCTACTACTTTCTCCAATACATTACACAATATTGCATATAGAAGTGTCACCGCAAAATCTTAACGTATTTTTTTGTAAATATGCTTTTCAATGCAAATAGCGTTACAAAATAATTTAAATACAGAATATGTTGACCAGATCTATTTATCTAATAGAAATTCTTACATATATTAAGCGGAAGCATGAAAGTGAAGTCTTGGTAATTCAAAAGCTGCATTCAATCAGGGATGATAAAATAATTTTAAATCGACTTGGAAAATAGTTAAAAAAATGAAAAGGATCAAATAATAGATTTAAAAATTTGGCTCTAAATGAAACATAGACTAAATTAATTGCTTATTTAAATTAAAAAATATGGATTATATGTTTCCCATGCAATTTGCTGATTTAGCTGTACACTATTTATGAGTAATTGTGCCAATTGCTTATTGTGAAATTAGATGCCTCGATATGAAAGTGGCAATAAATGACTTCCTTAATACATGATACATTTAAATCAATTTCCGATTATAAAACACACCCATATAAATATTATAAATTGAGAAATAAATACTTAAGCACGTCCAGATAGAATTACAAATTAATAATTAAAATAAAACTACATTAGAAACGTTATGAGGCTCTTATAAATCTCAAATTTTTGATGATTGAACAACTGTATTACCAGCCTTCCCAAATTCATAAAGAGATTGAATTAACCATGTTATTGAAAAATTAAAGTAGTAGTCATATCAGGTTTTCACTTAAAATAATACAAATATCTAAAACAGTGATTTCTAACCTGTGGGGCGCGCCTATTTTTTTCATTCGAAAGGGGGGCGCAAGGAAGAAAAGGTTGGAAACCGCTGATCTAAAATATTAATTATAAAATATAACAAAGGATATTAGACATCCGAAAGCATTGCTGCGATATACCTATTACACCAAAATTAGATAAAAAATCTAATAATTGAAGATTTTTATTTTAAGCAAAAATATCCTTCAAAAAGTTATGAATATATTTGTATTGCGTTAATGTTTATGAATTAGCCCATCCAAGTTCAAATCAAAGTTTTGAACAACATGACATCAAGAAGCAGTAGGGATATCTATTTTCACTTGAGAATATAAATAAAAATATGTTTCAAAGTGTGAAGGTATTTATTGGCAATCCTGCAATATATCATCGCTCTTAAAACACAATGACATTGATTTACCGGATTCTTTTTAAAAATACGTATTTTACTTTTACGTATACGTATTTTAATATGTATAGTTAGGTGCTTAACTCTACTGATAAAAGTGTACTGTACCGCTGTATTCAGTAAACTAACTTAAAAAAACGGCAATAACCTTCGAGGGGACTACGTATTTCGTAGAACATACTTCGTTCATGAACCTAGACACAACGGAATTTACTATGGACACAAGGATAATCGAACAATAGCAAGTCCTTGTGAATCATTCCGAAGCACCCAGAAAATATTTTAATGATTCTCGAGCGTTTTTATTTGCTATAAAGGCACTTTTTTGAAAATAAAAAATGGAAATTTCGAGAAAAAAATGCCGGTCTACCGGGCATTCCAAACTGTTGGGTGCCAGACTAAAGAATTTCTACTGTAGTTAAATAAGGTTGAAATAGTATGGACTAGAGATGGGTAACTCACTCCGGAGTTATCACCCCGATACAACTCCTGCCTCAAAGTGAATCAAGTGGAGTTGTTTCACAGGATTTGTCATATCCGACTTTCCTAAACTGGTATTAAATCTGTTAACTCGTGCAGACATTTAGTGTTTTTGGCGTTTTTGCTTTGGGAAGGAAGCGGTCACTTTCTCGTCTCACAGACAGTTTGAATGATCTTTTAGGTATAAAAGTCAAAATAATACAAACCGTTGTGTATTTTCCAGAAAATACAAAAATGTTACTTTAAAGATACACAACAATGAAATTGTGTTCAAGTTTGAATAGCTCAAATGTATAATGTATAGAATAATAAGGGGTCATATTTCTAACAACGAAAATTTTTGACCGTGAATGACGGCAATCTGGAATATACATACCGAAAAATATACGAAACATTTATTTAATCTGGTTTTTCCATAGTCAGAAATAACAACACTTAGGAGTACAAAATTTATCAGTGATATCATTAGAATTTAAGCAGCAAATAATATTTAGTATTATATTATTACATTTCACAATTATATAACTGTGTAAATGTAATAATATGCTGATCGAACTACCCGATATAATATTAATTCTCGAATGGAAATAGCAGAAAAAAATTTTGAATTTTGCAGACGTATTATGTTTTGCTTTTATTATAATGTTTCATACTCAAAAGTTTATAATATTTCAAGTAATTATATAAGAGAATAGATAAACCATGCGCTTACTAAGAATGTCGACTAATTAATTATCATTACATGAATTTATCTTAATTCGCAAGTACATGGATGCTTATATTTGCCGATATTTATATACCACGAAGGCATAAGTTTGCTAAAATAGCATCGATGTTTATATGATGAGGCAATATTAAGTTACATCTATTTCACTGCTTTTTATAGGTACTATCCGTATGCGTCGAGTACGTGTTAATATTAACTCTAAGAACATCGTTTGTAAGCAGCCGAACAACGACAAATGATCCCACGCGGTATATATGGAGAATGTAATTTCACTTTTCCTTCAAGACGTGCTCAGCTTTGTTTAGATCAATATAGAACCAAACTCGTATTAACGATTAAACCATTTTCACACAGATCCGGTAAAACCGAATGTGATTTTAAAAATTTTCGCGGTAATAGTATTTTTTTTCAATCAAAGTGCATTCTAAATACAACTGTACAGAAGAAAAGATGTTCTTCTGTTTGTCAGTTACCAGATTTTTTCAGGAATCTCAAAACTCTTAGTCAGATTGTTCGGACGTATTTTCATATTACTTATATTGGCCATGAAGACAGCGATCTTCATGGCATTGAGCTTTTGCACCGGAAGGTTGTATACCTTGGAGAGGGGGTAGCGCAGAGTTGGATAGGACTTATTTTTTTTCTTCAAAAACTAAGCAGTAGTACTTAGTGACAAATCGTTTATTGTAATAAGAACTTGCAACAAATATATAATTTATACCAACAAATCGGTATTTTATACAGTCCACAGTTGCAATGGTTAGAATATTACTTAACAATCCGAGTCATCGAGGTACGATCTTTTCATGAAAGAGATCTTTCACATATGTACACATATGAATTTGTAAATTTTCGAGAAAAAACTTTGGTTTGTTGAGATTTCTGAGAATCTCAGAATTGCGTGAAAATTCTGTTATCATTTATATGTTTGATCAAACTGGGTGGAAACGTTTTTACTTTGATGAACTAGAAAGACCACAGTATTATTTGTATGATGTGTCAGCATCAAGATATTCATTTAATTCTCATTAACTTTTAAGATATTCTTAGAAGAATACAGTTTGATGTTTTGAATTAGAATAATCACGACTCATATTCCTGACGTGAAAAGTGTTTTAGTCTCGTCTTATGTATCATTATCACATATGTTTTAAGCTCGCCGCAACTTCTTTTGCCCTAAGATAAATATTATGAAATCTGCGGTCGCAAAGTTACATGCAACTATTATTGGTTTATGAAAGGTAAGTGCATAATAGTGTCAATAACAGTATAACACCATCACTTTTGTAATTTATAACACATGTGCTGGGAGAGTATTAATCTACGCATACTTCATCCTCTTGGCACGTATATTAAAATTTTACCATTTAATTTTAATAGTATTAGAATAATAAGATTCGTATTACAAGGACTTTCCATATTAGTCATAAATAGGCCAATTTAAAATCAAATTGAGTTGTTAAAGATGCAAATATCATTTATGCATTTGACTGTACCAAGTTCATATAATATGTTAATCGCAATAATAATAACGTATAATAATCTATTATTGAGAAGTATGGCTATTTGAGAAAAAAAAGTTGATTTTCGAAAATGTGACAAATCATAACTATTTCGTTGATATTTTTTAAAGAGAATTGATTAGCAGTACCTAAACACTACTACGTTAAATTGTTCTTTACTAGTAGTTAAAAGTCATTCACAATTCGTTGATTTTGATAACTTCAAGTCCGGGTCCAGAATTTAAACTGTCTGCTCTCAAAGTTAACAACTAATCTTAAATAGTCACAAACAGCATAATGTAACTCAATAAATAAAATCGCGAATGTTTTTGTTTGAAGTAAGCAATTGTTTTACTGTCTTTGCCAAATCCAAAAAGTTTGCAATGTCAAATTACATTCTTCAACCGGTATGTTGGTAATTTTTAAATTTGTTTATAACAAACCAGATCAGTATTCGTCAGCTCCGTATTTAAAGCATACAGCATGCTGACAATATAACTGATTCATGCACAGAATCTCGATTAATATCACTAATATATTCTTCAAAGAACCCGACGAAAAAGTTGTTGAACTCCTAGTCAACATGAGCGTATATGCCTGATAACACATCAGATAAAAAATCTTCAACAATAACGAAATTCCTGAAGTTATCAGTAAAACTGTTCTTCGAACAAAATAAATTTCAAACCCATAGCATGCAAAGATCAATCTAAAAACTTACCTCTGCCTCCAAGGACCGCGCTCTCCCATCAAAAACTGCCTGCAGTGTCTCCATTCTCTTTCCACCTGCAAATCCCTGCTTCGACGCTGCGCCGTGGCGGTCGCCAAACGCGCCACTTCTTCAGCTTGTCTTGCACGCCAAGGAGCCACTACACGGGCCTAGAAATAAAATAATAAAATATTTTGTTAATTGTTAAATCTTTAATTATGGCGGAAACTAATAAAATATAATTACCTGAAATCTGGCCCGACTATCTTGTTGAGCCCTCGCTCTTGCTCCTGCTGCGGCTTTACCTGCTTCATAACATTCTGCCCAGAATGTATTCAACGGTTCGCCTAAGGAAGTTTCCGTGTCGCGCCTGTATAATTCATACTGAGGTCGGATCTGCAACAATAAAAAAAAACAAAATTAAAAAAAATATCGGTTATCAAACTATGATAATAGTGAATCAAATTATGATTTATCTGTAAGTGGTCGCATTAGAAAAATGATAACTAAGAAACTTCAGGACTACCGAAGAAAAGAAAATGACTTGCAATTTTGAAAAGTAAATTAGGATAAAGAATGGAAACAAATAAATATGTACATCAGACGATTTTCTTAAGATAATTTAGTTTTTTCCAAGATAAGTTGGCAATAATTTATGCAATTTATGAATGATCCCTTGTATTGTTTTGAAGGTTTTGTTTCAATTTTTTTTAGTATCATTACGTATTGGAAATTTCGTTGCTTTCTGTGTTTGAAAGAACACTGCCCTGCTGCTCTCTAGAGTTAGCAAAGGTTGATGTTATATGGTAAATAATGCAATTAAAACAATTATCTTAACCGGAAAATCTGAAAAATAAATACCCTTCCTCCAAATATCATTTTCCAACATCTGTAAAATTTACATTTTCAAAAAATTCTTGTTATGAATCGCATGCTTTCATGTCCATATTACATAAGCAATTAAATCAATTAACCGTCTAGTCAATAGTTTAATATGAACTTAATAGATTCAATTACTCAGCGATTGAAAGTGATTATTTATTTCCAGTAGTTATTAGATTTGTGTTATTAAATGTATTGCGTGTGTATATTTTTGTTGCGTAAGACTAAAACAAAGCAGTTATTTAATAAGCTTTGTACCGGTGTGAGAAAGCGGATATATCACTCAAATTATACTTTCCGGCTGATTTAAAAGCACCAGAAATATATATATATATATATATATATGTGCAATATTTTTTCCAACATTTTTATTAATTTAAAAAAATTCATCATCTTATGCTTTTCTTAAACATAATGTTTGCTTAAATCTTATCAAGATCATGTTTCTTGACAGATGTCCTTAAGATGGACGTACCTAGTTTCGAAACGTCGACTGTAAATATATAAAAAAATGTTTTTTTTTGAAAAAACTTTTTTGTTTTCTATTACTTTTTGAATTCTTTGTTCAAAGCTCTACAAAATATGAATTTAAGTTTCCAGGCTTTCATAAAAACTCGAATTATTAGTTAAAATAGCAGCAGAAAGTTCCATTTGATCTAAAGTCAAAGTGCTACTTCATCCTAATTCCAAATATTTTGATTTGAAATTATTTTCTGAATACACCATACAATATATATGACTCGGTGAATAAAATAGTAGGTTATCAACAATTCATATTGACAAATATGTGTATGGTTGCTTTTTATGAATTACCCTTCTGATATTGTTTGGCGATATTAAGATTAAACAATTAATAATACTTTGTAGTTGATAAAATGATGAGAAATATTTTGATTTTTTTTAAAGATTACCTGTGCTTCATTATGTTTTTTATTTTCTGAAAAAAAAAAACAATTTTTTTACTTTATGCAATCGAATCGTGCGGTTATCTTACTTCATTGGATTCATATCCAGAATGATATAATAAAATCTTGAAATATATAATTATCTTTCAGTTTGCATGATTTTGAACATGTTCTTTACTGGATATTTTGAAATTGCAATCATTATTATGGTACCTAGTCATTTTACACAAACGAAGATAAAAATCGAAAGTATTATTGAGTATTATTGCTTGGGTGCAGGAGAAATGCAGTTAATAATTTATCAGACACGAGAGACAATTGTTTGAAAAAGTCTCTAAAATTTTTGAGCAATTTCTATCCTGTAAATTATCTAGATTTAATTTCAACCTTTGAGAATTCTAGGCAGCAACAGGGCAGTGTCTTTTCAAACACAGAAAGCAACAAGCATTTTCATTTTCATTTAGAAGCTACATTACTTTTAAAGATAATAAATAAAAATAATAAGTAGTACTTTTCAAGATAATATAAACTAAAATAAAAAGATATGAAAAAAGAAAACGAACCCAGATTATGATGAATACGTAAAGTAAATTACTAAATTTTTCGTGATGTAAATAAGAAACAGATAATTTTAAGAATTCTATACTGAATTTTCAGAGTATCACCACACTCACATAATTTAAAAATAATGAACTCATTGGTATTGCTTTTTATAGAATATTTTAAATAAAATTTTTGAAGATATGAATAAAATTTTAAGAAAAGTAACAACAGTTAAATATTAAAAACAAAGTAAATTTTTGAACTTTTATGAGAAAGTATCATTAAAATCTTAAACTTAATGTGCATATGTCTAAATCATTTCTATTAACCAAATTTCAGTATTTATATTAAATTATATACACTAGCAAAATTAATTCACATACACTTAAGCGTGTTATTTAAACTATAATTTTACAAATAACAAAATTACTAGTAAATATATTGGCATTATTTATAGATATTTAACTTCATTTCTGTAAGCGTTTATGAATAAACTGCTAGTAATTTGAGCTAGGAAGTATCGTACGAGAAATGTGATGAACATTATATACTTCCGAGGAAACAGTCATGAGATAAATCAGTGAAAGTATGACTAAACAAATCTTAGAACATCTTCAAATCCTAATACATGATGATACTTAAATGTTTGATCCATGTTTAGATGTAACTTGTAATAAAAAAAACTATTTATTTATTTATATAGTGGGTGTTAATCTACACCAAAATGGTTGATTTTGCTTTAAACAAAGTACACTTTAGTTCAAATACCTTTCTAAGAACTAAGCACTCTTTAGTATTAACTAGCAATTATATACAGTTTTAATGATAAGATATAAAAATTTGATTGGGAGAATCATCGATATTAGTAATGTGTCGTATGGAAAATATTTTCAGGAAAATATTTAAATAGCTTTCTTATTACTTTCAAATGAGGTGTTCAAAAATTTAAGAGTCGACAACTTTCGAAACTCATGATCGGTAAACTAATCATGTAGCTTTAATTGATAACAATTAGATTGTTTAATAAGATTTTGTCCTTTAGTGCTCTTTTCTAATTAATTTCATTATAGCATAGATCCTGGATTACTTTCTCTATGAAATAATCTTGTGCGCAAAATGTAGTGACTGGTATTTAGCACAAAGGTACAAGTGGAAATGTTATAAGTCGTAATTACACATTTAACTTCAATGTTTTCTTTAGAGCCAAAAATAGCTATTGCGGGGTATGGATTGCCCCTATCGTAATAGGCTATTCCATCATATATTACGTTACTAAGTAATGCCGAGGATATAATACTAAATTCAGAAATAGTAGACTTTCTCCGTTTAGTCAAATTAACGTACGTAAACACGCCTCACTTGAAATACTCAACGTGTTAATTACTTTCTATTGCTTATTTGTGAATTCAGAAATTCATATTGACTCAGGCACTGTATTGCGCAATAACGCAATAGGTACAATAATTTTATGACATCTGCAGATGACAAATATTGTTTCCGGTTTTAATTTTCAGATTTTATGAATATGAACAAGATTCAGGGCTACGTAGTGCAATAACTCCAATAATGAATATTTTTGGCAAAAAATCAGATCATATATATAAGTGTTATCTCTGTGAAAAATGTATCCACGAGCTATCACTTCCTAAAATTCCCTTGAAATTAAAAATAAGACATTGGATCTGTTTACCCCCTAGCCATCCTATTGTACCTCGCCTATAGAGTAAATGGACCAGAAAACAAATTTTTGAAAAACAGCAAAATCACCCGTTCAATTTAAACCTAAAATCAGTGGCTCCGAGGAAAAAAAGTATTGATACAATTTTTGTAGATAATTTTATATGCTCTATAATTCTGTCTCAGTCGAGTAATTTTGCAATAAAACTGACCATTAAGCTGAAAATCGGAAAAAAAATCATTTTTGACCTTTGACCAGAAAACAAATTTTTGAAAAACAGCAAAATCACCCGTTCAATTTAAACCTAAAATCAGTGGCTCCGAGGAAAAAAGTATTGATACAATTTTTGTAGATAATTTTATATGCTCTATAATTCTGTCTGAGTCGAGTAATTTTGCAATAAAACTGACCATTAAGCTGAAAATCGGAAAAAAAATCATTTTTGACCTTTGACCAGAAAACAAATTTTTGAAAAACAGCAAAATCACCCGTTCAATTTAAACCTAAAATCAGTGGCTCCGAGGAAAAAAAGTATTGATACAATTTTTGTAGATAATTTTATATGCTCTATAATTCTGTCTCAGTCGAGTAATTTTGCAATAAAACTGACCATTAAGCTGAAAATCGGAAAAAAATCATTTTTGACCTTTGACCTTGTGTCAATTTTTTAGCTCGCATATTTTAAACAATTTAACCAAGTTACAGCCCATTATAAATTATTGTAACCTTGAATTTGTAAATCAACCGAGCTAAAAACACACATTTCTAACAATGATGAATTCACTGGGAGTTTTACTGAACATAGTCAGATAGTTGTTTGTTCGAAACGCATTATGTGTTGTGATGTACTTCATTTGGTTTATACTTTTTTTACACAGTATAATTGCTTGAAGACAAATTAAGCCGTTGTGCCCCAATATTTAATACAAAAAAATATTTAAGTTTACACTTGTGGATTTTGATTAAAAAATTGTTTATAAAAGTTAAGACCCAACAGATAAAAATGATATAATACACTATTAAGTTTTTTTTTGCATTTAACTACATTTCACCTTTCAACAGAGTTTTATACAAAGAAAGCGCCGAGTTTCAATTTTCGAAATATGAATAACATTTCTTGTATTTATGTTTTACAAACAATTTTGAATACGCCGTGCAAGTATTTACTGATGAATACCAGTGAAATCTTCGAAGATCTCAATGATTACATCTTATTTAAAGATATTTTTACGCAATGTGTGTGCTATGTAATAATAAGATTTTTAACGATTGCGTATCAGCTATACGAGTATACATAACTTTGCAGAATTATTCTAATTGGGATAATCAGTTTTGTAATTAGTATGTGAGACGATTCGTTTGTGGAAGTAAATTGATCATTTTTTGTA